GCAAGTAAAGTGGAGGGAGAATAGAAAGAGAGATCATCCCTAATATTTTTCTTTGATGATTTGTATTCCTCGTTCTTGATACTAATTTGTCTGTGTAGTCCATTGTTTTCTCTTTCATTAACAGAGCTCTGAAGTACTCAGGGATCTTTCCTCTTTTATGAACGGAATAATTCTTCTTTTTAAAAATAGACACACACAGGGTGTGTCTAGACTACATGGCTCCGTCAACGGAGCCATGTAGATGAGTTTACTCGGCAAAGGTAAATGAAGCGACGATTTAAATAATCGCTGCTTCATTTACATCAAAATGGCTGCCGCACTGTGCCAATCAGCTTTTTGTTGGCAAAGCGCGGCAGTCTAGATGGGGATCTGCCAACCCCAGAACCCTTTGTTGGCAGGTCCTGTAAGCCCTTTTTCATGAGGCATAAATGGAGCCATCAACGGAGCCATGTAGTCTAGACACACCCATAGAGAATAAAGATTTTAGATTTATAGCTCTACAGTTTATCTGGCCAATTAGCTAGCTCTACAACCCACTCCTAAAGTTATTACTAGCTCTTTCTGAACAGAGATGTGCAGGGGATTTTTACCTCTTCAGTCAGGAAGAATATTCAGCATTTAAAATAGAAGTGTTCCTCAGATTGAAATATTTGATAGCACACTACCACTCCTTCAAATATTTGTGACTCAAATTGTTACCCACATCTAAGGAACTCAATACCCAATTCTTCCAAAGACCAACATTTCCCAGTACAACCATAGTTCTGAGGAAACCAAAATAAGTGTCAAAGTCTACACCACAAATTGTAATAGTTAATCTAAAAATACTAGGCTATACATAATAATCTAATCACAGTATCCTCCATTCAGAGTATCAGTCCAGAAATCTGGTAATAGCTTCTCTGATAAAATGCTGAGCTCTGAACTGATGAAACAGAGTTGGAAGATATTTTTAGAAGAAGTGGAAATTATCTAGACTTTACGTGTCTCCTTTCTCCATTGTGCATTTTCATGGACAAAGTCCACTGGATTGTCCCCTGAATTCTGGCCACGTGTTTAAAACACTACCCTGAACCCATTGGTTATTCTGGGAACGGACATAGTGTAAAGGAAATTGAATATGCAGGTATGCACTAGATTAGAAAGGCCAGATCAGACATCTGTTCCTACTACTAATAGAATTGATGATGCTATTAAAATTACAGTACCAATGGTGTGGGTCTGTCAGAGAGCAAGGGTTAACTACCTCAACTTCACTGAGAGGAACAATACAATTTTGTGGCTGTTACATAAGCAAGAGAGGGATGCACAGCATAATAAAATGGAAAGGAATTTAGAATAGGGTGTGAATCAGGAAAATGTTCACTTACAAAAGGTAGAGATTAATTGTCTGATTTTCATAACTAGTATGACTAAAAATAAATGGAAACCCTGGAGATTCCCTTTGTCTGAAACCACTCTCAGAAATTATCTGAATCAGAAATGATAATGTATATTGAGGCATTGCTTTTTCTGAATTCACTCTGAATGAGAACTGCTCTGTCACCACATTCCTGACGCCAATTTAGAACAGATACAATCCAAATTAAATGAGTTCCAAATTAGCACCTCAAAGGGGCTGGAGTAACCGAGAGCTGAGTTCAGACCATGGGAAACCATGCCAGCCCGTGGATCTGAGGGCAGAACTGAAATTTGCTTATTAAAACAAAGGTATCAACACTTTGTTTTATAAAGATAAGAGCCTTGAAAATTCAAGTTAAGAAGACTCCTTTATAGTTTCCAGTTTTATTCAACAAGCCACTTTGAAAATTGGTGCAGCAAAGAAGATGCACTAAAGGTGAACATTAATAAATGATGCTGCTTGGTAAATGTGCAAAGTGAGTCAAAATGAGTTCACTTCCAGCCTGCCGTGTTTCTAGGAGATGGGGCAAACAGAAGTTTCTTATGTCCTAAGTGTAATACATCCACCCATTGCACAGACACAGTTACAGCTGACAGGCTTCAAACTTGTTGTCTAACATTGGGAAATCTTTAAAATGATGTCCAGACTCTTTTAGTTGGCTTAAATTGGAAAAACTTGCTTCTTTTATTGATCTGTAAATATGGTCAGCTACCAATGTTGCTGCATTTAAAAAGTAAAGTGTTTTGTGCTGTCTGTGGGGTATAACCATGTAGAAGCCATTTAATTCTAGACACAATGGCCCATGTTCAACTTTGGTCTAAACAGATTCAATTCAGTTAACAATCAGCTGAGTTGCACCTGCCTGCACCATGGTCAATACAGATTGCACAGGATAAAACAGTGCACTCGTTGACCCATTGTGGCAGTGGGAGTGGGAGTGGTGGCTTTGAAGGATGGTATATATGTTTCTGAATTTACTGTGTTAGTCAACAGGACCTTCATTTAAAATTTGCTTTAAAAATATTTAATTAGTGTGTTGCTGAAGATTATAAAATCCCATCTTTAAACAACTGTCATCCTCTCTCCCCAGTCTGTCACTGAACATAGAGACACCAGTTTAATAGTACTGCGTAAGGTCCCATGAATCCTAAGAACATACCTGTTTCCTCCTTTTGTCAGCCTATATTGACACGCTGTCTTCTTTTACCCAGTTTGTCACACTGCCTTTGCAGAGTTGATAGGAGTCCCTAACTAAATTTGTTTGACTAGTCTCCCATTCTCCCATTTCTCTGTAAAACTGTGTGTCCCAGAGTGTATTCAGCAATGTCCTATGGATTACTGGTGCCATGCTGTATACATGTCCTCTCTGGTCAATAGAGCTAATACTGAAGTTGTGAATGATAGCTGATCAAATTTTCTAATAATGCACTAAATTCACATAGTTAGACAGAATGGTAGGTATGGCTGCATAAGTACAACACACACGTGACACTTATCTAAAGCAGGAAATCTTTTACCCAGATTCAAATCTGGTTCAGCTAAACTACGTTTTAAAACAGATTATCTCTGTAGTTTAGACAGGGGTTTCGACTTAGACTGTTTTAAGAAGTCTGTCCTTCAGAATTACTCAACTGCTTTTGCATATTTCTATTTATTGTGCTGGTTTCAAGACAAGTAAAAGTAGGTCAGGGCACCTCAAATCACCTAAAATGGGCTTTACAGTATGGCTTTAATTACTTGGAAATTTGCACCTAATATAAGATAGAGTCATATTTGTGATGTAAATAGAGATGATGCAACTCAACCATACTTGTTATAATTGGAAAAGAGGAGTGTCATGAACTATTACCAAAATAGTTGTATTTGTAGTGTATACAGGGCATTAAAAATGCAATATCATTATGATATATAGTATGGCTTCAGTAACCAATTTGGACAATGATATTTTACTGAGCACTATTCTAGTACCCAGGGGCAGATATACGGCAGGGCGAACAGGGCGGCCGCCCCGGGCCCTGCGCTTCAGAAAGCCCCGTGCATGCGCCGTGGCACCGCTGCACATGCGCATGGCATCACTGCGCATGCGCCATGGCAAAGGGGGATCCTGCGGAATTATGCTGCCCAGGGCCCCGCAAAACGGTCATCTGCCCCTGCTAGTACCCCAGTAATACAGCATGATTAGTGAGTGTAGTTCTCTGAAAACAGTAATTCTTGCCCAGGGAAATAATCAAAGAGAATGAACAGCCATGTTTAGGTATAGTTGTGGCTTGCACCATTATACTCCCATTGTGGTGAATGTGCAGACTCCTACTCTCAATTAGGGATGGTTAACAGATGATGCTTACTGGTTCTGGTTAACTGGTTATCCGCTGTAGATAGGGGAGCTGCAGCCCAGCCTGAACAGCCCCTGTCTGTGGCAAGCCCTGGTGTGATGCAGATAGGGCAGGGCTGGGCAATAATTTTTTGTCGGGGCAGCACTTCAGAAATTATTGAAGTGGCTCCAGGCTGCACTGAAAGGGGCGGGGCCTCAAGCATAAGGGGCAGGGCCAGGATACTTCCCTGCTCTCCCACCCGCAGACCACGATTGGCCTGGGGGTGGGGGAGCGCATGAGGTCTCTGCCCCCCCTTCAGGTTCCCCTAAGGCGCCCATGCCCCTGGCAGTTGGAGGAGACTTTGCGCACTGCCCCTTCTAGCCCCAGGCCAATCAGGGCTTGGGGGTGGGGGAGCACACGAAGTCTCCTCCCACCCTGCCAGGAGCGTATGGCACTAATTGGCTTGGGGGCAGGGGAGTGGCAGGGCCTCCACAGAACACATCAACACACTTGGTGGGTTGGATTTGGCCCGCGGAGGCCCTTTTGCCCACCTCTGAAGTAGGGGCTGCTTCCGCCGGGCTGCAGTGGGGGTGGGAGGGACCTGTTCATTCTAGCCCTGCCTTCCACCCCTTAATTATCCGGTTAACTATAATTAACCAGTTAACCAATTAAAGTAATGATTTTACATCCCTACTCTCAATAGTATTAAAAACTGGTTAAAGGAGAACGGAGAAGAGAAAAAAGGTAACATCAATGAAAATGTCTGTTTGCAAAGAACTAAAACATAACTACAGATGTAATTGTTCCTCAGTATTGTTCAACTATTTTTATGTCTCTCTATATATTCTTCCTCAGGGGCCAAAACGGATGTCTGATGCTGAAGTGCAAACAGATCCAGTGTCTATTCTACCTGCTGGAAAATCCAGCCAATGAATACATTGGCTGCTGAAGAATCAGACACACTCTTTGAGCTCCCTTGCAGTAAAGACGTCTCATTATTTTCCTTTATATGGCTGTCATCAAAAGAGGGCAATGCTGAAGACTAAAGTAAACATTTGTGTACATTTGAGATGTATCATTTACAGAATTTGTTCATTAGATGTTAGTAAGTAACTGTAAAGGTCATTGAGAAGCAATGTGTAATATTATAATTAAAGAGAGGTCATACGGGTGATTTTTAAGTCTGGGGAGAGTGAAAGGATGCAGTGGTTTTCAAACTTTTTTTCTCAAGACCTAGTTGAAGAAAATTGTTGATGCCTATGAAACAACATAAATTGACTAGAGTGTGGACTCCAGAATGGGGCTGAGGATAAGAGTTTTAGAATGTAGGAGCGGGCTCTGGCTTGGCGGGAGGGGGGGGTCAGGGCTAGGGCTTACCTTAAGTGGTACAGCGGGGTGCTAAGGCAGGCTTCCAGCCTCTCCTGGCACTGCAAACCATGCTGCACCCTGGAAGCAGCTGGCAGCAGGTTGTTAGCCAATGGGAGTGCAGAGCTAGTGCTTAGGGCAGGGCAGTGCAGGGAGCCCTGTGCACTCTCCCCCCTCACCTAAGAGCCGGGCCTGTTGCTGGCTGCTTCTGGTGCGCAGTATGGTCTGCGGTGCCAGGACAGGCAGACAGCTGCCTTAGTACCCCCACTGGTCACCCGATCACACTGCAGCAATGAGACCCCGTGCCTGACATTTCACGACCTACTACTGGTTTGCAACCCCTTGTTTGAAAACCACTGAGAGGATGTAAAGGTGAGGTAAGAAAGTGGCCGTGAAAAAGATGACTTGTGGAGTAAGTGAATGTGACGAAAGCAATGCATTTTTGTGGCAAAACAGTGAACAAAGAATTCTCAGCTACCAAGCTTTGAAGCAGTCATGAAAAAAATCATATTTTGATAAAAGTTATATTTAAAAGTAAATACCCACCAACCTTACATAGTTTGTCATTATGCTGTAATTAGCAAGGTCTGCAATACAACAGAATCTGTGTTTTTAAGATTATGCTTCAGATTGGTCTACACATTATTAATGAAAATTAAAAGGCTAAAATGCAAAGGCTTGAAATGATTTAAAGTACAATTTCTTCCTTGACTTAGTGAGGTGGAATAACAAAAATACTTAAGCTATTAATACAACACAAGGGGGCGCCAGTATCTCCACTCTCTTACTAATTCAAAAGCTCTATCTACAATCTTATGTTGTTAATGTTTTTCAGAGTTAGAAAAAAAAATCTTAGTTGTTTTGTCAGTTACTCATCTCCATTCATATCTGTAATTTATCCTAATAAAAACCAACTTTAAGACTGACCAGGATTCCTCCTGCTTTACAAACTCCTGGAATAATCAGGGTTAATAAATTTTACAAATAATTTCAGATTTCTGTGGTTTATTCAACCCTTCTATTAACTCAAACAGGGAACTGTGGAATTGACATTTAAAGCATAGTAATATCTGAATTATAGATTATTAAATCATACTTAAATCAATATATGCAAGCAAATACTTTTCCTTCAAAAAATAACTCATTTGCATCTTTGATCCTTAACTGAAGATCCTTATAAAAGGGACCCAGTTTGTCCCTATTCTTAGATCATTGATATGGAAGCCAGGATATCCACACACTATTCTTGGCTGTGGAATAAATATCTGTCATCCTCCCTCAGTGAAAGATTAGATTAATCAGATTTCAAACTTCAGTTCTTTCCAGATATCATCCCTGTAAGCAGATGGATTCTGTAGCATTTGCAGAACTACATTCCTGATGAGTATTATGAAAGGGGAGGTGAAGAGATTTGTCTCTCTCATTAGGAATCTTTGTAGATAGATAATAATGCTTCAAGAGGCCCCAGCAAACCCATAGTCTTGTGATCGATGACCAAACTAGCACCAGGTGTTACGTGCTCAGAAAGCTACATTAGTATTTTAATAATTACAGCACTTGCTATTCTTCTTCCAAAGCACAATGGGCCTTTAATCTGACGTCCTATACAATGATATAAATCAGGAAAACCACTGTATACATCTTAGGCCTAATCCACAGCTCTCTGGTTTTACACCCAAGGGTACGTCTACACAACAGCGTTATTTCAGAATAACTGTTGTTATTCTGAAATAACAAAATGTGCATCTACACTACAAGTCTTTATTTCAAAGTAATGTTAAGTTGGAGGACTTCTTACTCCTATCATGGTAACTCTCATTTTACAAGGAGTAAGGGAAATTGAAGGAAGTGTTCTTCCTTCGGCTTCCTGCTGTGTAGGCAGCACCAACTGCTGAGTTAAGCTATTTCTACTTCAGCTACGCAATTGACGTAGCTGAAGTTGCATAGCTTATCTGACTTTAGCCCTGCTGTGTAGACGTATACCCTATGTTATTCTTTTGACTGCAATGAGTTAATGAATAATCCTGTTATACACAGCTCTGTCAGATTTAAGTTAACTTCCTATTTTCCCACTGTTCCACTTCATACAGGAAAGTTTAATGTGGCACAAAACCAGCCATAAGCCTTATAATTCTCGTGGTGCATCTATATACCAACAAAGCTGCATCCACAATAAAGGTTGTACCAGACCAACTAATTTCAGTTGCAAAAAAAAAAAAAAAAAGTGTTACTCCCGTAACCTGACCTTTTATAATACTAAAGAGTCTGTGTAAGGGCCTGACTTTCCTTACAAGCAAAATTTGCCTCTACACAGAAACAGGGAAGTGACTACCCAGGGAGCAGTAAGAATAATGATTTTTTTGTTTGTTTGTTTTTTGGCATTTTTAACAGGAAACACATTTTTTTTTTGGCAAATCAAAAACTGCAAAAAAAGTTCTGGACAATTTTGTTTCAACAAAATCTAAACATTTTATTTCCATTTCAACCTTTTAAAAAATCAGATTAAAGGAAATGTTGAAACAAGTCATATTGAAACAATTTTTCAGTTCAAAAAAGTCGAGTGTGATTGTCAATGACTTCATACCACTGTGTGGCTAATACTGATGAAATAGTGATTAGCACTGGCAGGGCCCATTACGCAGGAACTACCCCTTTCATTTGATTCAGCTCTGATAACAGGAAGATTACAAGCTTTGAAGAAGCAGAGTCAGCTTTCTCATAAAGCAGCACCACATGCAGCTCTAAGAGGGGGAAAAAAGTCTTAAGGGATTAATCCACCATTTAATTGAGCTTCCTCATTCCAGTGACATGTTACTAAATTTCAGTATTTTTTAGATGGTAGGTGTTCACATAAAGTAAAGATGGAGAACTGATTTGTCGAGAAGCAGAGCTTTGTCAAAGCCACAGCCAAAGACAAAGGGAAAGCTTGCTAATGTTTCTTAGTTCCCAGACTAAAATACTGCATTGAGCTGCAGTTGTCAAGAAATCATGTGAAGAACTTTACTGAATCCACTCTGTCTTTAAATTTAAGCTTTTGAATAGCACACCACATTACATCAGAATATTACAAAATATCTAGTGATCGTAAGGTAATATTTTGAAAGAAATCAAATTTTAAAGACAAAAATGCAGTTTCAGGAATCAGTAAGCTTCCTAGGAAATGAGTTTAAATAAATAGCTCTGCCATTTGGGTAAGAAATGCCTCCCTCCAACTGACAGTGATTTATGAACTGCCCTCCATAAAAGAGCTCATTCAACAGTTAAGTTGTTTTGCGCTCCATGGCCATGTGTTCTTCTCATTACAGGATTAGTTTTCTTTCAGCCAGGCTATGTGGTGGAAATGCAGAAAAACAATTAGATTCTTGTGAAGTTTCATGCTTCAGGTTTTTCAACCTGCAAACAAATTATCTCCTATGAAAATACCCGTGAGCTCAATTGTTCTCTTTTGGAAACTGGCCAGGGGCTCAACTTTGTTAAACTAAAAAAGGCCAATAGTTGATATTTTCAAGAGTGGAACTGTCTTGAGCTGACTCAGTACCAGGTATATACACAGCTTGAGTAAAACAATTTCCAGTAATTTCCAGTGTCAAACAGGCCAATGTGGATTTTATGCAGAAATATATGCTGAATTCTCAAGACAGTCAAAATATGGAATTTGATTTTAGTGTTTTATTTTTGTACTAACTCTTGTCTAGAGATCTGTACAAAAACAGGACTCCATTCTGTCACCCGCTGCATCTACTGGTTGTCTTTCATCTTATACCTAGACTACAAGTTCTTTGAGACAGAGGGCATCATTTTTGCTCTGTGTTTGTACAGCACATAGTACGTGGTCCTTTTCCATGACTGGATCTTGTTGGTGCTACGGTTCAAATTAACAGTTGTGCTAGGCACTGTTTTCAGACACAGAAGAGCTCCTTGCCAAATAGTTTAGGCACAGATCCACAAAGGGCTCTTAACTTTAATTGAAATCAATACTTTTGGGGATTTGGCCCATTCAAGGTAAACAGGCAAAGGGTGGGGGAAAGGATTTGTCATCCCCATTTCATGGAAGGGAAACTGAGGCACAATAAAATTCAGACTGAGGCTTTTTGCAAATCTGGCCCTAAGTGACCTGCCCAGGATCACTCAGGAAATCTGCAGCTAGGAACTGAACTTAGTTTCAATGGGTCCTCAAGATCCCTCTGTGATTGATTGCATTCATTACACTG